CCCCAAAACCCCAAAACCCCAAAACCCCGGGACAAAGAAGCCTAGTTGAACTCTGATTTTAAGTTTCAAGGAAGGAGTGAGAATTCGCGCTTTTAGAGCTGTCGAATCTGTTCATATGACGACCTTCCTCCTCCTTTCTGAGGCGTTGTCAAATTTCCTGGGAAAGAACAACTGTATCTGTACGGTAGATGATGAATAAGAATGAGCCTCCTACAAAGAGTAAGGCTATGGGTAATCCTCCAAAGATTCCACAGATTCCCCAGTGTAGCTTAAAAGTAAACCAGATTGTCAAGGGAATCGAGATTCCCCAATATCCGATCATTGATAAAATGGTTGCATAATTTTGGATACCCATCGCCTTGACAGTTCCTTGAGAGATCCCTTGTGTGTAGTCACCAATAGTGCTTAATGAGATCAAAGGCATTGCTGTGATCACCATTTCGATAATTTCTTCATCCTGAGTAAACAGATTAGCAATGTAGTACCTCAAAATAAACATTAATGTTCCAAGAATCAGACTCAGAGCAAACCCTATCATTGCAGCTAGGTTTCTGTAAACTTTAGCACTATTCGGATTCATTGCTCCAAGACTATTGCCGATAAGAGTGTTTGCGGCATAACAAAATCCTAGAGGAATCATATAAACAAAAGCGAGGGTATTGAATAAAATGACTCAAGCTCCCAGTTCTTTTTCCCCAACAAGCCCTCCAAAAATCGTGATAATTTCGAATGACCAATACTCCAGCGCTGTAAGCATCATGGCTGGGATCCCATACTTCATGTACTGCCAGAGTCCGACGAAGGAATCCTTGTTAATCCGGTGCATGCTGTTCTCCCTGACTGAGTCCTTCTTCAGTGTCACATAGATCATTGGAACGAGATAATTCATGAAATATGTAATTGATGTGGCAATAGCGATCCCGCTAATTGATAAATCAAACTTAGACACGAAAAGATATAGCCATAAGGGATGTAAGATTCAGTTAAATATCTGGGAATTTGTAACTACATAGAATGCTCCCTGAGTTCCAAGAAACTTTCTCAACAACTCTGTTTGACAGAATCCCCATACTCCAGGAATTAGGATTTTTATAAATAGTCCTGCTACCTCTGCTGATCTAGTTGGCTGGCCTGCAGATATCAAGATAGGAGTGATGAAATACAACAATATCGCTTGAGGCACAAACAAAATCGTCAATACAACCTGAGCTCTGGTGTAATATATTCCAGCTAAATAGTTTTTCCCATTTCCAAAGGCTTGAGATGAGAGTGTTTCAATCCCACCAGCTAGTCCTACTCCAAGTGAGATCGTTGTAATTTGAATAGTTGTAATCCCAAGCCCTGCTCCAGAAACAAGAGTAGGGTCTCCTAACCTCCCAATCACCACAAAATTCATAATATCAATGACCCTCCTCAAGATCATCCCTCCCGACGAAGGCAGGGCATACTTTCACATCTGGACCAACCCCTCTACATATCCAACCTCCTCCGAATCCTTCACCGTCGCTTCAATATAACTTCCTAAATCACTTGAACTCTTCTTGGAACTCTCTATACTCATCAATCCACTAAAACCCTACCTGAAAACAAATCCTGGCCATGCCTATCTGACATCTCCACTTCAGAGTCAGACATATTCCCCAAATCCATATTTCAAATTATTATCAAAGATCAGGGGTTTTGGGGTTTTGGGGTTTTGGGG